ATTCCCTGGTAGTATAGATTCAAGTTTGTTCAAGTGATGACTCATGACAAGAGCTCGGCCACAATTGGTGATCAAAGTTTTAAGAATGATTACATTCAAAATTGGAAGAAATATTTAAAATTCTTCCCAATGACCTTGACCTAGAAGTTCGATCTACTTTTTAAAAAATACTTTCCCTTTAAAATGTAGAAAAACGGCTTTTGTTTATGATTTGTGTATTGTCTGTAATAAGATGTTTATTATTAGTTTCCTATTAATTTTTACCCTTTCATCGTGACCTCATTTTGGACCTAATTTTCAAATATTTTTTTTTAAATTTGGTGGTTAGTTTTGCATGACATATGACAGGAATTCAAATTTGACACAATTTTCCGTAATCAATAGTATCTCATCCACAAAGACACCAACAACTAGAATTTGCTTCAGTTGTTTACATGAAAGTGAAATTCATATTTCAGAATCTAAAGCCGATACCGCACAGTCTTCAATAACATTTCCGGAAAGAGTTTTTAAAAGCAAAAATGGAACCATAAAAGCTACTTTGGATAATCTTACAGTTGTTATGTTTGGAACTATGGTAACTTTATTTTTGAACAAAGTGATCGGAGACATTCATAAAGTTCACAGATAGTCTTAAGATACAGTGCAAATGCGTACATGTGCACTTATAGAACTGACCAAGTTTATCTTCAAAATATTATAATTATGAAACTGGTGTTTGAAAAGTAACCCTCTTGACTTTATTAATAAAAGATAAGAATTAACATTATGCACGATTATCATATTTTTATCATATTTTTTTTACATAATTATATAAGCGCACATGTAACTGCCTCATTTTAACGGTTTCAGTTATTCACAGATCAATCAATCCCTGGTTGGTAATGATCCCGCAGCAATTATTTTTCCTGATAGTTCAGAAGTACTTGCTTAGATGTGTTCGTAGTCTTATTCAATCAATAGATATTTGTTTTTAGTAGACCAAGATTAACAAGAGTTATTTCCCGTCGGCCGCCATATTTCTCACATGCTCTCTTGCTTTGAACTTAAACTCGACATTTAAATACATTCTAAAATATAAATGATTATTTCCATTCTTATGTCCATGCGATATATCCAAGTGTGTTTGTGATAAATGATACCACAGATTCTGACACATCTGTTTCTTATTTAAATATTTTACTTGAAAAGATGGTAATAATAATTAACAACCAAGCTCTATGATACATGTACATGTACTTTAACCTTTTTATCGTCATCTTCCCTTACTTATGCAGCAATACACCTTCATCATCTGCATTTAGAGTTTATTATATATCTCAATAGATTCGATACAGCATGTACACTTTCTAAAACGAGGTAAATTATTGACAAGCAAGTTGATGAAACAAGAATATCAGCAGTCTCGTTTAAAGTCGTTATTTTGTAAGGCCTATGGTTGGTAAAATAATCATGTCAGCCAATACAATTTATCATTGAGTCAAATGCTGACTGACGTTTTTTTTTCAATCTGATTGTTAGTCTATTATTTACCCACTGAATTGACGACGGATTTTTCCGTTATTTCCCATCATTACAAGAGAGACACGAAGTGTTTGACCGGTCGGCAGGGGATGCCTACTCCTCCATGGTACTGATCTCACCTCTGATGTCCATGTTTGCTCTGCTCCTATTTGGTATAGTTTAATAAACCTTTGAGCTTGAAAAATGTTCGGTCTCTCCATATTTGTCATTGTATAACGATCACAGATTAATGCTGATGTCTCTAAATGAAATTCAATATAATGCACTATACATGCATTCGTAAATACATGTGATAATAATGTTCGGCGTTGAAAAATATATATATTGAGATAACAAACAGTATTTATGCAAGCTCAAACATTTATAAAACAATACAAACTAGAAGTGGAGCATACATAAACCTCCAAGTTATTCCAGAGAGGATCAGATGTCATTATGATATTAGGTTCAGGTCACTTCAACAGTAATTGATAGCGCCGAGTTCAGATCACTACTTGTGTCTGAGGTCGCACACATGACACAGTGTTTAATTAGAGCGTTGCAGAGATCCTTGCGTCGCGGGTTCGAACTCCATTGTGGGAATCGGTGACTGGTCCTTCGGATTTGACTGTATTTCTAAAACAAGATCCCGTGTCGCAGTAGGTGCTGGCACGAAAATGTTCCCTCACCGCTCAATGACCCTAAGTGCCGAGTAAAGGACAACATTTGCAGCTTTCAACCGCAAATTGTTGGCCTCTCCATATGTGTGAATACTTTTCGAGAGGGACGTTAAACAACATACAAACAACTTAACAAAACTTGTATCTGAGTAGATCTTATAAAATGTAGAAACCTCCTAAAGCAATCAAAAGTTGCTTACAAATTCAAGTGAACAATTACAACAATACAGGGTTAAAAGAGCTAGGGCACAGATTTGTAGATTCGATTTTCCTAAATTACATGTATCTGAATAATGTCATGATTCATATGTTCCGAAAGCATTTCACACTGAACTATTGATAATAATTAAAATAATGTTTTTTAAAAGAAAACTCTTTCATATGGAAATTATTTGTCACTTTATGAATGTCATTTGTATTTTGTAAAATTTTGTGTCTAAAATATCCATAAGATTTAATACCGGTAATTCAGTTTTTGGTGGGACGTTGGGACCCTACCCTTTTCAAGACTTCTGGATCCACCTGTTAATAAACGCTTTATAAAATATAAGCACATGCACACGGTACTGTCAAAATAAAGCACAGGATAGTGAAAACTGCCATCAGCATGATCAACGTCATTAACTTGCAAAGCGCATATAAGTCTTAAAATATGAAACCTTCGTTTTATACACACTTAGCTTATCCAAAGAAATAACGCACACGTGCTTTTAAAATTAGGCAAGTAATAACATTTAAATGCTCTCTACCAAAATTAAGTATTTCAAATTATCTGGAAAGAGTCCTCATTTGGAAACTCCGAACTTACGAGAGTCAACTTTTTTCTGCATACTAAACTTAAACAATTCTGTATAATTATAATTTTGGCCTCATTTCAATAATATAGGAGAAAATGATTTGATGTCTTTGTTGCCATTAATGCAATTAAAACTGCATTAAGAAAATGATTAATTGCAAGTTCTTTAATTATAAACATGAAAACTCCTTAAAAAAGAATAGAATTAGACATGCAAGAAAATACTCATAATGATTCTTCATGATCTTTAATCTTCCAATGTTTCTTATTGACATCAATGTATCCGCTTATAATATGTGCTTCTAATTTCTGAAGTTTCTTTATTTACTCACTTAATTATACATTCGATCGCTTAATCAGACTTGTATTATATTTAAAAAATGACTGCAATTTTATAGAATGACTAATGAACCAAAAAATTATAATTTTCACCATCAATCCATATCAGTTAATGCGATTACTTATATCAATGTTTTAAATTTGATGCTGTTTATCTGTGAATTCTTGGATCCACGCGTAAGCCGCAGAGGATCTTTACACACGCGCTGACCTAGTTAGGAAATTCTGTTAAGTTCTGACCATCATTTACGTAATAACCAAGAAGACTATGCATGAGTCTGAGAACATACATGTACAGTGCACATGTATATTTTGAAGAACCCCCACCACCCAGGCGATGTGTGTCGGACTCTCTATGATTTCTGTGCAGCTTGTTTTCTTTCTGAATAATAAGGCCTCTTTAGCGCTCAATCTATATTTAGAAAATCGCATCATCATCAAACTGACAGTCGGTGATCCTCGGGTGGCCTCAGTATTGAGATTCAATATATATAGATACGACACACCCAAACTATAGATATTCATCAGCATCGTACTTCTTTTCTAAATTTTCCTTGGCTTTCTTCAAATAGGCCTAAACCGAAAGTAGATCACACACTTCTAAGCTAGTTCTTCTAAAAGGAAACCAGTTTACATGCTACTTGGAACTCCTTGTGTAGATTCTCACTTGAGATATTGTAAAACTCGAGGATTCTCGAAAGATTAATGGAGGCTTACACTAGGACTTCGCTTCCGGCATACAATCTTAATGTGTCATCTCCCGAGGGAGATGACAATAATAGCCCACTTTAACTTAAATGCCCACATTTACTAGTTGATGACCTTAGTGGAAAAAGTCAATTTCATAACACATATACTAAGCATCCTGCATAAACAGAAGAAAAAGAGTTCACAACAGACAAATATACAAATTTCAGTCTTATCGATATATTTCTTGTCTATATTTTGAGTATTTAATCATTTAATAGTAAATGAGAGCATATTGTTAACACTTCTGGAAACCGCACTGAGAAAATGTTTTGGTATAATATTGGTTTACATCTTCATCCACATGTATAGAATAATATTTTAAGGACAGAGTGGATTAATTAACAATTCGACCTCGGCTGACCTCTCATGTCAATGACTTTCCTATGACATACATCTCTGTACACTAATATTTGATCTAGAGAAGTTTTTAGGGGTCTGCTACAAAAGATCTAAACGAAACCTCCTAGTTAACTTTCATATGCCCAACACACATCCCTATTAAATCTAAATTATTCATAAAAATCTAATTTGCTGTATGTAAAAAGAGCGAATCCAACATTCATTTATTACTTACTAAATTGAATGTGAAAATAATATACATTGTTCTTCTTGAAAATAATAATAAATAAAAAAGGAGAAATTAAATGAGCATAAAACGAATTAGTATTATTAGCTATGTTTATGCTTTCAACAATAAAAAAGGAACTAATGTAGAATGAATAGTATTTATTCTCATGTTGTATAAGATCAAATTATTGATCAAAATATTTAAACTATTATAATATCATATATATTATATTATATATTTAATGTTTTTTCACTTATATTGCATTCATGAACACAATTTTCTAAAACATAATTTTAAGGATGAAAATGCCGAAACAAGTCGGTCTTTCATTCTTTCTTATTCTTTATCACCAGTTCGTCTGCTGAAACGTTTTAAATTAAGTTGTTTCACCATTTTCTATTGATGATCCTCAACATTAACTTCAACAAGGTCTGCGTAAACATTTTAAATGGTATCACATTCTCTTGGAGTAATTTTAGGCACACATTGACGTCGACATATTCGGATCTCGTATATTATATAGAATATGAGCATGCATATTATGCCTGTTCCTACTGAAACAATGACTGCTGTCTTTGAATGGTACGCATTTGCAGGACGCAAAGTAAAATCTTTGAAAGCATTACTGTTGTTCAATTCACCTGTTTGATTGGGCACTAAATCAAATATGATTATTAAGACTAATTTATTACAACATATTTTACCTGGAATCTAAATATTTATTTTGAATCTTGATATAAGGATCATTAAATTTTCTAAAAAAAAATATGATAATCTACATGTATATGCATAGTGCATGTTTTACTATATTCTTGGTAATTAACAATTAATAAGAAAAAATATTATAATTACTGTCATTACAAGAGATAATTGGTTATTGTAACTCAAATAAAATTTATTCAATATTATTCTTTTTAAAAAATGTTAAATTAATGAAAGATTATCGTTCTCATAAATTCTATAAACAGCATATATTTGAGAAGGGTGAATAAAACACGACCCCTGGAAATAAAAATGGGGAATCAGGCAACTGAGAAAGTTGCAAATATGACCGGTCGACTTCGTTATTACATGTAGTATACTCAGTAATCCTCCGTTGTCCTTGAATTTTCAGTAAGGCATGGTATTCACCACGTTACATAACAAGGGCCTGAAATTTACACAGCCTCTTGGATAGAAATTCGAGCGAATGTCAACAATTGAAGCGATGATCCATTAGCCGCTTTTTGTACTACAAAAAAGGTTGGGCTTACATGTAAGAAGAAGGATATGGAAATAACAAACAGTATTCATTCTCAACGTCCATTAAACAATATACAAAATAAGAGCAGAGCAAACACGGACCTCCGAAACATCAGAGGTGGGATCAGGTGCCATGGAGGAGTGAGCATCCCCTGCCGACCGGTCACACATGTAAGTCGTTTCTTCGTTGTCAACAATAATTTAAAGTTGCTATTATTAATACTTTTTAATCATTCAGAATTTTTCTCCATTTGTGAAACGTTATTTAAGTAAGGTCGAGAATGCATCGCCTTTCTGAAAGTCCAAGAATGACAGAGAATCGTACTACTTGACAACAAATCTGATCAAGGATGACGTTTACTCACGTTTTAGAAATCAGAAAGGAAAATTTATAAAGTATAATATGTTAAATCAATAAATGATTTAATAACCAAGATTTTACTCAATATCAATTTAAAAATTAAATATTTTATTATTTGAAGAAAATAAACAGGAAAAAAATATCATTGTGTAAAAAATGCAGAGGAAATTCGGACTAAATTTTCACTTTTCCATTTTTGGCAAAATTTACTATTCTTGCAATAATTATTACAGTGTAAACATTACATGACTGTGTTATTTAATATCATTTTGTAAATATTATATCTGTTAAAGCTCATAAATTATTTCAAATAATTAAATGCTATGAAATAAAGAATTCAAAAATATGAACAAAAACCATTCTAGACAACATCTCTCAATAATTTGATTATTGACCCCATATAATTTTATACCATGAGAATTGAGGCAAAAAAAGTTACCTAAGCAATAAATATTTTAGATTTCTTATCGTTCAAATCTTTAAATATTCGATTACAAATCTGGAAAAATATTAGTAATTATTGAGTTTATGGCCCAAACTCTAACCGTTCTTTTATATGAAGCAACGCTGTTTTCGCTGTACGTTTTCATTATTTAAAGATTTGTGCTGCTCGTAATATTTTGTGAGTGAAGAAAATATTGGTCATAGTGTGATAAATTAATTGAGATACATTCCGAGAAATTCCGAGAAATTCTCAGGAGCCACTAGCATGAAAATTAGGTCATTGACCTAGTTATTTGAAATGGAAATTTAACACAAGAATCATCGGTGCACAATGTGTAATAGGGGGTTTTTCGTTCTTTTCAGTGGGATTTTTAGTTATCTGAGTAAAGGTATACTAGTACCTTAATAAAAATGTCGTATCATGCATATCAAATTCCTCTATTTTTTTCCTAATAAACCATTAGACTGCAGCACGGTTTGCGGTTACAGGAAATCGCTTGAAGTTTGATTCTAGATAATATCTAGATAACACTTATCAACAGAGGGATCTCACTTTTAAACGGAAAATTATAATCACACAAATATGCGAGTTTTTATTAGCAACTAAAGGATTACAAATTTAGTAAAATATTTTATAGTGTAATTTCTATAAATAATTGTTTATTTCCCGTTTGTCATAAGAGCTGTTTTCAATGTCAAATTACATTAATTTTCAAACATATATTACACAATATATTCCAGATGTATTATCAATTTCTTCGTTGTAATTTGGTTAAAATCTGATATTGAAAAAATATTAAAAAGTAGTTTTTTATGAGTAGATTTTTGAACAGTGTTCTTTAAACTTGCATAATAATTCCACGAGGAATGTGACGATTTAAATATATTTTTAATTTGTTCCTGAAAAAGTCGAGAGAATTATTAAAAAAAAAATTTACAATCATAAATACTATACGACCACACTTATAACGATATATTACCATATTGCAAAAACAAATTTTCGAGTGATTATAAGAAAATAAGTGGGAAAACTCAGTTAAATTGAAACCGTATAACATTTCAAAGATTTCTTTTATACATTATAACTATATTAAATAAACCGACATCATTTTTATCTTTATTTATACTTATAGTCTATAAAATTGTTTTAACTGGCTCATAGTATCTTTTCAAGGTTATGGTTAAAACATAAGGGGCATGCTTTTTTGCTTTTAAATATAATTATACTTACCAATATCTATTATTTCTGTGGTACGTTTGATAGACAGAGAAGATTCTAAAACGAAATTTTTTTTATCAAAACGATATTTTTATGGAACACTCACGTGTATATGTATGTATATACCGCTTTTTACCAAAAACACAAATAGTTATTGTTTTACAAAGCAATAGTTTTTTGAGGCAACACAACTAACGTAATTTCCTTTTGAATCTAATGGAGAAAATCTCTCTTGCTTTAAGATTTGAACGAATGTTAATAATTCGTGTGTTATGCATTTGTTTTTTAAAATTTGATAGTGTTTATCCAATTCTGCATTGTCTATAAAATCTAATTGTTATGTAAAAATTATAATAGTATATATACTAAGAGCTAAACCATAATTCCATCTGAAAAATTCCCCATTCTATATTGTTTTATCCTCTGGAAATATAACCAGGAATTGCCTCAACAGGCAAGATTGAGATAAAATGCATCCAGAGTTATCAAACACCAGGCATCAGGGATTTCAATAATTAAGATGGCGGATTATTGTACATGTATTTGGTGATAATTTGGCAATGTTTAAAAGTAATAAACTGAAATTTCAATTTTATTTTATATACTTTTCCCATACATTTTTAAAGCACAATTATCGAAGTATTAATTTTATCTCATTAGTACCTGAAAGAAATTTCTACATCAAATAAAAATTGTAGAATGCTACGGATAATCAGAGAAATATTGCTACATTTAAGAATTGCAAATACATTGCAAATACATTTTGCTGCATCGGGTAATCCAGATCACCCGTGCATCTTGAAGCATTTCTTAACATTACTTGCAAAACAATACTAAAATGCATCTTAAAATAATTTGGATATACAAATTATAGAATACCTATCGTTGGAACACATCCAGTCACATGATTGCAGGTAGAATTGGAACAATTACACAGATAAGCACACATAAAACCATATGATGGAAAGGGACATGGAGAAGAACATTCAAAATCAAAATAACCAAGAGGACAGGCTAGGAAAAAAACAGGATGTTTTTAATTAATAATATTTTTTTAAAACAAGCAAACTAATGTATTAATGTTTTTTGAAAGTTCAAATATTTAAAAAAAAAAGTAACACTCATTTATTTTATAGTATGAAAGAAAAAACATGAAGATTACGAACGCAAATCGATCTATAAAGAAATTACAAACAATACAAATCTAAGAATAGGGCATAAACAAAGACAAAAAAAAAATTCTGAGGTATGAGACATGTTCTGATATGGTTCTTGTCTTAAAGAATTTTCAGAATAAACAAAAATACCTTGACAAGTATTATTTATTTTTTGGTAGTTGTAACAACATCCCTGGTTTGCATCCATGAGTAATCTGCATTAAAACAATAAATTCTCACTCATTATGTTATTTTATAACAAGATGCATCAATTTTAACTACTTATGTGACTAAGATCAGAAAAGTACATGTAACTTACCCCTGAGAACAGCCGTTTGCTCCTGAAAATTTAATAATTTTGAACGTAAAGGCTGTATATCATTATTTTACGTTTACTAACTGCTCTACTAAGTGCTCTACTAAAGCAAAGACAGGTTCGCAGATACCTCAGACACCAATTTCATGTGTACAAACACATTTGAATTGCGAGTACAGAAGTCAGGAACTTTGAAATAATAGAAAAATACATGTGTTCGAAATGCAGTTCTTACCCTTTTCTTTGTCGGGACATCCATAAGTAGGATCACATTCACTAGGTGCACAGTCACATATTTCTCCGCATAAACTGCCATATGTTGGTGGTGGACAACTTTGCTTACACTCACGTCCAAAATATCCAGGTGGACATTCTGCATGATATATATTTGTTTTCTGGCCTAGATACTGTATAATCATCAATGTTCGTGGGGTGGCCAATGTTCTTGGATTTTGTAGGTCACCCTTATCGACGAATATACATCCCCTCGAATGCTCATTTTGCTTAAATATTGATTCATTGAACCATCGTAGTTAAGATTAACCTTCAAAATCAGATCCACATGAACAGGTCAAATTTTGCTTGGCCACGAACATTGAACCCCACGAATAAAAATGATTTCAAAGTAATTCATTTACAGACAATTTTCTGAAATGTTTAAACCATTTAACTTACTGTCCTAACACAAAAGCATGTGTAATTACCTATACAAACGTCTCCAACCTTCTGAAAATTTGCATTACAGTCACTGAACCATACCTACAGGTAAATTATTATTTCTAGTTAATTATATCATGAGATTAACGATTGTGTAAATATGCTCATTAACAAAACTGATGTACAATTGAAAGGATTAGAATTAGAAAGAGCTTTCTCAATCAAAAAGCTAACTTACGTAAATCGGAAAATGGAAATAATTATAAATTGCATGAAATGTTGCTTCACAACCATATCCAAATTGCAAAACATATCAACAAGGAAATGAATGAGATTTATCAGAATAAATTTGCCACAAGGAAATTTATTTTCAAGCATTGTTTAAGGGCTTGATTAATTAAAATATATTACATGATATGTTGCATTTTACCGAACAGTATTCATACGGATAAGGTTGACCTTGTAGTTCTGGGCTTTTAACTACATGATGGACGGACACAATTTTTACATTGCTGCAAGGATCAATTTTGCAATAAACTGTTTTTGTTACCAATGTTAAAATGAATGCAAAGTTAGTGGTTTTAAAACGTTATAAAACCATGGTTATTAATAGTCATCAATGGTTAGGAATGACATCTGTTTAGTTTATCACCATTTTTTAGAAGTAAAAATTCAGTAAGAAAAATGTTCGTTGCAATGTTTAGACAAAATGGAATTACTCTTATTGCCGTAGTTTTGTATGACCATCAGTCTTCAAGTGATATTAGTTTGCAAAAGCCAGGAGTTTATTTCTTTCAAATGTGCAACACTACGTAAAGATAACAATATATTCTCCCTTGAATAGTTGTCACATTCAGTTATCATTTATAAGAATCGTCACTCACACGTTCAGGAAATGTGCAAGTAGTAGCCTTGTTGATTACCCTACCTAATGAAAGAAAAATCTGCGTTTGTTATTCTACCGCGATACCGCGATCATCAAAATTGATAACCATTGTAAAAATTGAAAAAATGTATTTAAAAAAAATTCTTTTACATAAGAAATTATATGTTACATTTTATCAGAATACAAAAACAAATAATTGCAGCCTATTTTGTTATTTTTAAAGTTGTTGAACTTATAAAAGCAATGTTTTAAAATCTATGCATTTTATATTTCTTCAATAAATTTCTCAACTATCATAAAGCAAAATAAAGTTATTTCTGAAACGTGGTCTCAATACCATAAATAACTGTTGAACCTGATGTAGAAAAAATAAGGACAAAATTGGAGTTTAAAGATTGTGTAGAGTTTATTTTTTATGGAACGCACAAGAATACAAAAGAAATAAGGAGATGTAAAATCAAAAAAAAAAAAAAAAACTACAAGAAATTAATGGTAAATTAAATTTATAGTTAGTTAACAAACGTCATCAGTTGATAGATATAGAGTATCTGGAATATTTTCTTAGGTAATATTCTTTTTCTTTATCTTCTTCAAATTGTTGTTTCATTGGTTGATGATACTTCGTTTTCTTCAAACCCCCAATGATTAGATTTTCTGTAAAGCTTTTAAAGCTCATTTTCCTTCATAATTCAACCGACATTAATTTTTTATACTGGCAATTGTGGGCTGAGAAGCATTGCTTTTCCGATAAATAGATAAATATATATTAGTTAGAGCCTCCTTTATTTCATAATATTAATTCCATAAAGATCCCCCCAAATGCTTCTGCTACACACTCTCATATTAGGTAGGACAAAGAGAGAAAATTACAAGATTGACTACCAAGATGACGGTCAACGGGAAAAAACTATTGTTAATATGGGTCGTCATAAAATTATCTATATTACTTGCATTTGTAAATGAATAGAATAAAAATAGCTTTCATTTATCGCATGAAGAAGGATGTGGAGATAACGAACAATGCCCAATCTCAAAGTCCATAAAACCATACAAAATAGGAGCAGAGCAAACACGGACCTCCGAAACATCAGAGGTGGGATCTGGTGCCACGGAAGAGTGAGCATCCCCTGTTGACCAGTCACACCCGCCGTGTGCTCCTTGTCATGGTCAGGAAATAACGGAAAAATCCGTCGTCAATTCAGTTTATAAATAATGGACTAACAATTATTATAAAAAATGTCAGTCAGCATTTAACTCAATGATAAATTGTATTTGTTGACAAGGTCATTGTGTCGACTATAGAACTTACTAAATGCTGACTTTAAACGAGACTGCTGATATTCTTGTTTCATCAACTAGCTTATCAATATATTACCTCGTTTTAGAAAGAGCATGCTCTTGCTAACTGAATGTCAGATTAATTGTTCACAAATAAGGATTCATGATCTGATCCCTATGATGTAAAATGATGACAGCTTTATAAGATTGATAGACACATGGTTTTAACATCTAAATGGTTATTCAACAATAAGTTTGATATATTTTTGTGCACACATAATCGAGGATTCTTGGGATAAAAGGTTTTTGCCCTATCCGTCTGTCTGTCTGTTTAAATGTTTGCATGTTTATATGTCTGTTTGTTTGTCCGCAAAATCTTTAACCCTGTTTATAACTTTTGAGTTATGGCTTTGCAATGGCTTTCCAATTTCACACGTGTATTTCAGGGATGGGGTAATTGAATAAAGTAATTGTAATTGAGTGTAATTAATTACATTTTTCAAAGTAATTGGAAGTAATTTGTATTTGAGCAAGCCTTCAATTACAAGTAATTGAATGTATTTAAATACATTTCAAAAATGGTCATGTATTTTCAATTACTCTTCAATTACATTTCAATCACTTTTTTTCAAAATGAAATTTTATATTTAGAAAGGTGTCTTATACTGATACATAGTTTATTTTATACTGGTGGGTTTGTATTACTTATTCCCATGTTTTATTAATCTAAGTTCTCCCTATTCCCACTTGCAAATAACAATGATTGTTTAGATAGTTAATTTGTTTTACAGCAATTAGACTAACTACATCCCCTTTTAGATTTACCTGTATTCTATTCATTTTTAGATAGAAAATAATGAATGAAATTGTGATAGATATTATTTATTTCCTTCAAAAATATGGATTTGAGAAAGTAACAAAAAAGATCTTGCCATACACCATACTGGTGTAGCATTGGCTTGTGTTTGTACAATAATTAATTGTCTCATAATGTTTAATTTGTTTATACAGTGTGTCACACTCATTATATGGTAAAGATCTAATTTTGAAAAGATGTGAACCCCTTTCATACCCAAGAACAAAAACACTGAATGAAAGTTCGAATTCGATCGCTATACAAAAAATCTTATTAAAAAAAAGTTTGTTTTTTTTATAAAAATAAAACCCGAAGTAATTGAAATGTATTTAATTACATTTGTCAAAGTAATTGAAAGTAATTAATTACATTTGAAAAAATCAAGGTAATTGTAATTGCAAGTAATTGACAAAATTATCAATGTATTTGAAAGTAATTAATTACATTTCAAAGTAATTGACCCCAAGCCTGGTGTATTTCCTATGATAAGACAGTTCTTTGAATACCAACAATTTTAAAATTTGACCTTAGAGTATGACCCACATTTTGTTGCTGTTTATTCTTAATATCATGCATTTCATTGTATTTGTTGTTATCATCAGAGTCATTTAAAAAATAAAGAGAGGAGGCGGTGAGGCAAAGCTGATATCCGAAAGAATTATTTTTTTGTTGTTGTTGGTTAGCTTCAAGATATTGAGTTATAAACTTTACTACAATGAAATACTGTATTATTTATTGAATAAAAATGATATTCTGTGACAGTGTGAAAGTATTTCAAAACTAGAGCAAAGCTCGTTGCAAAGCAACAAGTAGGTTTTCCGTCCTGTTTTGACGGAAGTGACGTCAACAAAAGAAAACAATGAGCTGAATCGTCTCCAGTCACTTTATGATTTCAATTTTGCATCAAAACCTTAAAAATTAAGCTATTTTTGGCTACCTCCGGTTCGACCGGAAGTGATGTCGACGGACGGAAAATTAAGTTTTATGCTTCCAGTGACATATGTTACCCAAAACCTTGTCAAGAACGGCAAAAATATGCATTTTCTGACGACTTCCAATTTAGACCAGAAGTGACGTCGCCGGACGCATTTTGACGACTTCAAAAGATTTAGCTCGACATTTTGAACAACTTTGCTTCTTAGACGAATTACAAATTCTCAATACTTTTTGAGATTTCTTGAAAAAAATCTTGGCCCCTCTAGATCCCTTAATTTAGGAGTCAGCCCTTTTTTCGAGATATAATTTGAAAGATCTTGTAATTCTGCACAAATTTTGTTCTATATGTTTCAACAAAATATGTTTAGTTTAGAAGATAAAAAGCAAAATATGTGTAAATTTTCGCTCTTTTAGGCGTTCTAATTTTTGACCCCTATATAGCACCATTTTGAATAAAGAAATCGAAAAACAAAAACCGCTATGTACAACTTCAAACCTTCTATTGTGTAAAATCAGTAAAGTTTCTGCTCCAGCTTTTGCACTCTCCGAGCCTTTGTCTGGAAATGAAAGCCTACACATTTTCGTTTAAAGGGAAATAACTCAAAACCGGAAGTGAAATTTTGAAATGCTAGACAAAATTCTGAAAGAGTTTAGTAACGTCTATAAACTCTGAAAACTTGAACAAAATCCATTGAGAAGTGAGTGAAATATAAGGCCTCAAAATTGGCGTCTAGGAAAAGGAAAAAATGAATAATAAGAATAATCTTAATCATCAGAATCAGTAGAAGGTCTTCCGTTGGAAACGGAAGACCTTAATGAAACCATTTTCTTGTGTGACAAATATCAGAAGTGCGGTAAAACTAGTGATTTTTCTTCCCATAACGGAGAGTGTTGAAAAATTTTCCTTGGTCTGTTGGAAGAGAGATATAGATAAATAATCTATTCTGACAAAGAATACAATTTCCAAAATTCATTAAATATTTTGCTAAAATCCATGTTTACAATGTTTCAAATCTCAAATTACTGAGCTATGACGTCTCGACCGCAGAACTATGACGTGATGTAGCCTATAACTATATTACAAAAAGACAGCTCGGCTAATGAAAAATCAAAGAAAATATCATAAACACGTGCTTCTCACTTGTG